GCTCTGAAGAAATGGGACGGAAACTCTGAGGACCGAACGCTCTACGACCTCGCCAACTTCCTCAAGAGTAAGACGCACGGCGAGGCGTTCGGGGACCGTCCTGTCACCCAGCCGTTCCTTAACTTAATTTGTTTTTGTAGTTGACGTCTGCTTCTTATGTTCGTCAGTGCATCCCTCTACTGTCACTAAGCTCATAGTTGATTGGTTGACCTTCCCGTGTTTCCTGTCTGTTGTTGTTTCACCTCCTCCGTCTCCTCCTCTCCATCAGCCATCGCTATGAGCGGCGTGGACGACGTGCGTTCGGTGTTGGAGAACTACGCGCTGGAGGAAGACCCCATCGAGGCCTTCAAGCGCCGACAGGCTCAGCTGGCACAGGTAGGAGGAGAAATCAAACGCACCTGTCACAGGTTTCACCTGGAATGGCTTTGACTCTGTTTTCTCTGCCCGTCAGGAGGAGGAGCAGCGTCTGTCCGAGCTCTCCCAGCAGAAGAAACAGGGACTCTCGATCGGCTCCATCGCCTCGCGGTTTTGGCGCTCCAAGCAGCAATGAGCCCCACCCCCTCCCCTGCTCGCTTTCCACCTATCACTCGTCCAAGGTGAGGTGAGAGAGAGGAGGAGAGAGACCCGTGTGCTGCAGGCGAATGGTCTCCGCCATCACGGACGTCTCAGTGGGCGGGGCTGTTGCGCTGGACCGGAGCTAGGACTTTAACTGGCCTTGCACTTCCTGGTTTTTGTGGAGGTGGGGCCTCGTCTTTGTGACACCTGATGCATTTTTAAGCTTCTGATGGAGAGGATCCAGGTCGGTCTAAACTCTGGTTGCTGGTGGTTGGAGGCTGATCGGGAATCAGCGCTGCCGTCGCCACTCCAGCTCCAGTCGCATCGCCGCTCACTGGATCTGACCTGAGATCAGCTGTCATCTGCCACACTTTGAGAATGTGTATTTTATTTTCTGTTCCTGTGTGTGTGTCTCAGACTGTGCTGTTGGAGGCGAACGTCACATCATGAATATTGTTTATAATGATGCAAATAAACGATAAGTAGCATTTGTGAGAGTTTGGTGAATATGTCAGAGCGCCAAGCGGCGTCGGCCGCCATGGCGTAGACGAATATGCGTCCAGGACGTAACAGCGAGAGGGATGAGGTCTTGTGATGTTCTGTCTGTGTGAGCACATCCTGGTGTGTGAGACGTGACTCTGAGGAAGAACAACAGACTGTGTTGGAGGAGTGGAGGAAATCTTGGCGACGGTGTTTGGCTCGGGACGGCTCACCTGTCGTACCTGGTCTGGTCCTATGAGGGCTTCATTAGATCAAACTAGATCACGTTAGCTTGCATAGCTCGGCAATATTAGGCCACCAGCAGACGTGTTCGGGAGCACCTCAAGTAACACGTCAGAGAGCCTGAAGTGTTGACCCGACCTGCCACCCTGACTGAACATGTGATCGATCCACAGAGATCACCTCCACGTGACGAAGCTACCAAAGATGCATGCCGAGCCACGCCTGGTTCCTGTGCTGTACACAGTTGTGCACAAGTCTTAGGCTACGTCCACACGTACCCGGGTATTTTTGAAAACGCAGATTTTTCTATGCGTTTGCACCTTTCGTCCACACGTAAACGGCGTTTTTGGTCACTGAAAACGAAGATTTTTAAAAACTCCGGCCAGGGTGGATATTTTTGAAAACGCAGTTTTTGCATTTAGGTGTGGACGAAAAAAAAACCCCGCAGAAAACGCAGCGTCAAAGGTGTGCGCATTTTTGACGTCACACTGTGCGCCACGTTATTGTTTCGGTGAAATGAATTTCTACAATACTGTTACTGTTAATTCTACTCTCTGCAGTGTTTAAATGCTCACATATACACACAGTTACTGTCCCTCCACACATACGACTCGGTTCTGCTTCTATCTTTGTTTACTTTTTCTTCTAGACTTCTGATTGGCCAACATTTCTGCACGGTTAGGAATCTAGCGCCACCTGCTGCTTTGGCATGTTCATAGCAGCGTTTTCCTTCATTTCTGCCTTTATGTGTGGACGGGATTATTTTTTAAAAGGAAAACGGAAAATCTCCGTTTTCAAAAATACCCGTGTACGTGTGGACGCAGCCTTAAGCAACCCCTCATTTCTCCCTATTTTGCTTCCAAGCAGTCAGACTTGTCATTTTTCACAAAGAATCCTCCTCCAGCTTTCTGAAGATCCTTCAGTCTTCCCTTGTTTCCAGTCCAGTCCTCGTACCTGACCATTTTCAGACGTTTTTCTTTGTTTCCATTTAACTCTGACCTCATCACTCAGGCATCATAAAGGCTCCGAGGTAAAGTCGTTATGTCTCTGCACATAACGACTTGCCAGAATCCATCTTAAAGTTTATCTTTGATGAAAGCAGCCTGTCACACAAACCGATGATTTATTCTAGTTTCTTTAGTTGAATCTGTGAAAAATCCTGAAGATAGTAGTTTGTCATAAAATGTCATTTTTGGACCAACAATGGATTCTCTGAACTATTAGCAGAAAACCTGGCGGATCTCGCACGGTGTGCAGTGTGTCCTTAAAAAATGTGAGGAAACTGGACAAGTGGCGGACAAAACAACAAGTGTTCAGCCTAAAAATCACGGTCAGGTCAGAGGGAGCGATGAGTCCAAATCTTTGGCGATATGTACAGAGGAGGTCCAACAGTGAGGCCACAGTGGAGGCTGGGTCTGGATTTCAGTCAGTGACGTTCGATTCATCAGTTTTAACAAAGTACCATCAGACTGAATTTGATCCTTCTGCAAAGCCTGACAATGATCCCAACGCAGTGAAAGTGCACAGTGGAGCCTCCTGCAGCGTAGCATTACTGAAGCAGTGTGGGATCATCCCGGCAGAGCAGAACAAGAACAGAAGAGCTTTGCGTGTCCTTCAAGAAGCCTGGAGAGAGTTTACAGCCTGTGCTGGAGAATAAAGGTGTCCACTCAAATACTGTCACCTGTTTCTGCCTCATAGAGACCGTGTTTCAATAAATCGCTGCACTTGGTTCTCATTTTCCTGCAGAATATAAAGATTAGAGGAGAGGCGTAAGACCTGTGCACAGCGCTGTACACGAGTCTGATGCGGTGGCTCGTTCTTGGCTTTAAACAGCAGCGTGTTTTACAAAGAGGACGACGTGCTGCATTTCTGCTTTACACTCATTTAGGAAAAAAAGACTTTCAGTCAGATCTGCTGCAGATAAACCGACGATCGCCGCCCTCCGAGGCCTCTGAGTTTTATTCTTTCTCCAGAGCAACGAGTCCAGAGATCATTCGTCTCAATATGCATGTGATGTAAACTCACCATTGGTAATAAACCCAGAATAAATCAAACCGACCAGCGTGATGTGTGGATTTTCCTGTTTTTGTTCGGTCTTTTTAAAGTGTAAATCGGTGGAGTCTTTGGCGTTTCAGGCTCATAATGTGAATCATTTTAGGTTTTATAGTTTTCCCTTCGCTGTTTACAAGCTTTGAATTTTCTCTCTTTTAATGAGATTCCGCTGGTTCAGGATGCTTCCCTCTAACAAATGCATCTGAAACGCGCTGTTATTGAGCGCGTTGGACAGAGGAGGACACGGCCGGGATGCTTTTGATCTTCTGGCTGCTCCTCGGGCTTCGCAGAAGCCTTCGTGCCGAGTTTTAATAGAACATGTGCAGCGCTGCTGTATACGTTTAATGTACGGAAAATGAGGCCAGCGCTGGGCCGAACGTGAGAAATGTGCTCTTTGTTGGCGTTACAGCAGGAGCCCCGTGGTGCCCAGAACCTGTAAATATGTTTTCTCTTCACAGCACGTTTATGTCCCGTGGAGGCGGGACAGGTACCACCTGTGAGATGCAGGTGGTAACAAATTACACCAAGCTGTCTGACAGCTTGGTGTAATTTGTGTTTTTATATGTATTATACGTGTTAAATTATCACTGAAAAGTATGAATTGGTCAAGGCTATGTGCTGGGTAGGCTCAGGGTTATTTTTGCATGTTTTCCTGGTGTTTACTTCAGGCAGCGATGAAGCCCAGAACACTCCTGTGTGAATAAATGTATAAATAGCATATTTGGAACACTTTGCCATTCAGATTCCAAATATTTGACCCTCCTAACTGCTCATAAAGTGCAAATACACACAGAGTCCTGCCAAACTCAACTGGAAATATATTAGACAAAATAAATCCCTCTCATAAACTCTACTTTGGACTCTTAGCAAAGGGGAGGCGGCCGTCTTTAAATAATTGAAGCAGTAACTTTCCACTTTCTTGCTGTTTGTGCAGTGGGAGCTGTGGGCTGCTCGGGGTTTAAGGCAAACAGATTAAATAGAAAGTCAAACACAAACTAAAGCAGATCTTCATTTATCCAGAGTGGGTGATGAGCCCCCCCACATGCTGCTGTTTGCTGAGGATGGAGTGGTTTAAAAAGTCAGTTTTTACAGATTACAGGATTAAATAAGGAAACCGCGGGCTGACTTCACAGAGCAGGGGCGGTTCATTTAACCACAGGTGGGCCCTGAAATCTCAAGTTGCTGCATAATAACAAAAATAGCTCCAGATTCTTTTACTTTGGTGTGAAACCAGTACCATCCCGGAAAGGTTCACATTTAATGACCGGTCCGTTTATAATGAGCGGCAGAGAAAAATGAGTGTTTTTCTACATTTAGTTCAGTGTGATTAAAACAACCCGCCAGCACGGCTCCTCGGCTCAAACTCATCACATTTGATGCTCTGTCAGACTCGTGACACAGATCCAGATCTGCAGGATCCAGGAGCTTGTTTCAATTCTCAGTCCTGTTCTCCAAGTCTGAGATTTAACTTCCTGCTGATGCAAACTGATGCACATAAAGCACGAATGCACGCTGTGTTCTTAAATGTAGCACCGACATTCATAAAGGAACACAAAAGCATGATTTCATAACAACAGCAACAATCTGTTCTTCTGAAATGTTCTCAGTAAAAATGAAGCTTTGATTGTCGTCTCTGTGCACGTGACGTGAGATCCACGATGACAAGATTTGATGTAGTTTTCCGTCGGTGCACCACCGCTGAGGATTTGAAATCAGAAACGATGTGACTGAAGTTCAGACTCATTTGCAGAGACCTGTGATTGGTTAACTAGCTGATTAGTGTTTGACGGCCAGGTGAGGCTCGTTTCACACCAGAAATGGAAAGTTCATTTCCATTTTAATGGTGAGCATCAGCCCCCCTCCTTCCATCTGCTGACTGATGCAGGAAGGTGTGATCATGCCGACCCCGACTATTTGCTGGTTCCTGCTTGAAATGCTGGAAATGTCCTGATTTGCTTTAAACCAGCGGTCCCCAACCCCCGGTCCTCGGACCAGTACGTGAGTCGTTTGGTACCGGGCCGCGAGAGTTGAGGCTCAGGTGTGAAATGTCTGGTTTTCAGGGTTTTTATCGGTTTTCAGTGTTATTTTGTTATTGTTTTTAGCGTTAACTCTGTTTTCCTGGGTCTTTTCACGTGTGTTATGAATAAATTTTCTTTTTTTCGGTACCAGTACTAGTTTTATTTTGTTGTATTTATCTTAAAGGCCGGTCCGTGAAAATATTGTCGGGCATAAACCGGTCCGTGGCGCAAAAAAGGTTGGAGACCGCTGCTTTAAAATAAACGTGGACACAACGAGCACATGATGTTGTGAGAGTGCCCACCTGCAAACAGGCAGTGAGGTGAGCGAGCGCGCGCCCAAATCTGCCGCTCCACGTGCATGTGTGTGTGCGTGTGTCCTTTTTAAGTTGTGGCGCTTCCATCTTAAACAGAAACCATCAGGTCCATAGGTTTTCTTTCACAGATCAATACAGCTGATCAGTTTGTGGTGATGTCATTCAGACCGTGAGATTAAACCGTTAATGAATTCCCAGATGTTCCCAGATGATGAAAAACGCTCATGCTAAAAACGCACCCACAAAAAAGACTCATCAAAGATCATCTTCCAAATGTTGGAGGTTTAACTTTAATTAAACAACAAATCTGTGACGGTCACCTGTTTATAAAAACTCTACAGCAGAACCTGAGAGACGATCATCTACTGCTCACTGAAGCCTCA